TGTGAAAGTGAATAAAAACATAAAATAAAATAAAAAAATGATTACGGTTTGCTCCAAATTTACTTGTCATACATAAGCCATTTACCAAAAATAAAGGAAAAGCGTAACCATAATTTATAAAGTAAGGTGTCTTATCAATCATTTTGTGTGTTTTTATTTTTATTTATAATGACCTTTAAGATACTAAAGGCTTTGTCAGAAATTTGGATGTCACATTTTCTGCAGAATTTCCTTCTCATGTTGTGCAAGTTGGTGGAAAAAGTAAAACATGGTTAGACTGGTTTTCTTACTCCCGCTTTTATCGCTGATTTACGATTCCCCGCGCTTATATGTGCAACAGTGACATAGCCATATTAGGCATTAGGACTGACTGACTCACAGAGAGGGAGAGGGAGTGGCCTTTGGGTTGGGTAGGCTTCTGGCCCTTCGCACTTTTGTCCAACCTCCTCCAGTGAGGAAAAAAAAAAAAAAAAAGCAGCAGACAACAGGGGAAAACAGTGACTTGAGCTCTTGTTATAAGACCAAGGACAACCACTCGAAAACCCCACCTCTCCTCTCTCTTTCTCTTTCTCTCTCTCTCTCTCTCTCTCTCTCTCTCTCTAAAACACTTCACCTTGGGTTCCATTTCTTCACACCAGCATGAACAGCCACCACAGCAGCAGCCCTCTTCTTAGCAGCTGGGCTTACTACTGCCAAGGAAAGGTAACCACAAATTTCTCAAAATTTTCAGATTCTTAGGAGCTTTCTGAACTTCTAGTCTAATTTGGTCCTTGAATTTGCACAATGGGGTTTATCTTCTCCACAATTTCATACCCAAGTTTCAATTTTACAACTTTACTTTGTTTCTGGTGAGCATCTTATTGTGTACTTTTAAGTATCGCCCTGAGCCCTCGAATGAGTGTCAGGTTCAGGGCGAGCTTAAACTTGCATTATGGGGTTTCTACTTCTAATAATTTGAGCCCAAAACCTCAAATTTTGAGACTTTTGGATCATTTTTTGCTGAAGTTTACAAATTTTTTATGATCACACAGAGCATGGAAGAGTTGAGGAATTCTCTTTTGTACACAACAGTGGAGCTTGAGCAAACAAGAGTTGCAGTTCAAGAGGAGCTAAGAAAAAGAGACGATCAGATGTCTCATCTCAAAGATCTGCTCCAAAAAACCATCAGAGAAAGAGATGAAGCCCAAGACAAATGCCGAAGACTTCTCCTTGAGAAACTCCTCCTCCAACAAACCCACCAGCAGCAGCACCAGCAGCATACCCAGCAGAAGCAGCAAACAGCTCCTCTCTCTGGTATTTCAAGCATTGAAGACGAACCCAGAAGAGGAATCGACTCCAACAATGGCTTCTCCTCCTCAGATTGTGAAGAAAGCATTGTCTCTTCCCCAGTTATTGACCCAATTCAGCAAACCCAGCAGCTGCCACCAGCACCATCCATGCCACACCCAGCAGTGGGGCTGCTGCCTGAGAAGCCATTGCCTGAAAAGGGAAAGCTTTTGCAGGCTGTGATGAAAGCTGGCCCATTGCTTCAGACCCTTCTTCTGGCCGGCCCTCTGCCGCAGTGGAGACACCCGCCACCGCCGCTGGAGTCGTTTGAGATCCCCCCTGTGACCATTCCTTCACCACCACCACAACCACCATTGCAGACCCAGCTGCAAAGCCAGCTCCAGCACCAAGACCCCTCCTTGGTCAACATTAACTGTGGCATAGTTAACAGAAAAAGAGCCCTCTGTGAGGGCTCTGCCTCTCCTCCAGAGACCAAGTTCCAAAGGGTTGCCCTCCACTGACTCTGCAGCAGCTGCTTCAGATTATGATTATTAATCTACCCCTTAATTTACAGTTTGATATTTTTAATACAACTAAAAGGTTAGTGAGGAGAAAAAAAAGAAAAAAAAACCCATGAAATTTCCAGATTTCAATTGGGTTTTTGTGACTGATCTATCTAGATTTGTACAGAGAGAGAGGTTTGCTTCCAGGTTAACTCAGTGAGAAGAAGGCAGTAAAAAAATCAGAGAGCTTTGTTTGTTTAGTGGGGGTTTTAATTTGCCTATTTTCTTTTTGGCCCTTCACATTCTATTTTGGTAATGTGAAAGGGGTCTTGAATTTTTTTCCAAATTGTTGTGGGATGTAAAATGTAACTCTGATTCTAGTTCACTAAGTTCATGTTCATTCTGATTCTGTCTTGGTCGAACGGATGACGTGAATCGAGAGCTTTGCCCAGGATTTCTCTAGTAAGATTGTAGGTGTGGAGTTGTTGAAGTTTATTAGAAGATGGGTGGTGTGGCCAACAACCAGAAAGGTTAAGAGCCTTGTTTGTCGGTTTGAGTGGAACCCAAAAATCAGAATCAGGATCTGGTACTGGTGTGATGTATGATTATACACACACATAAATATATATTTGGGGGAAGCATGATTGTTTAAGTCCAATCCCCATGTAGAATTCTCCCAACATCAATATTTGTTTTCCCTAATCTCTAGTTTAATTCTTAATTCTAAATTAACTAAGGCATCTTTTTATCTAATCTGCCCCCACTTGTTTATACTTAAATTTAGCTTAAACCTTTATCTCTCAAAAGTGGAGCAAATTATTGCAGGTTAATCCTACTTACCAATAACATTTCATTACTAAAACTTACTCAGTTGACTTTGCAGTTTCTAATTCATTGGCAATGAGCAATGGAGGCACAATTTAGTTCTCCCCCAAATGATAACAAAAACTCACCTGCAACGGGGTATATAAGCTATTTTATGTTTCTGCCTTCTCACTTCTAGGATAAAGAGATAACAATAAACCTTCTCACTTCTAGGATAAAGAGATAACAATAAACGAGCATACATCTAGTGCAGCTAAGTTGTTACATCGTTTTACTATTCCAAGTGAAAATTGAGGACCAACACTAAGGTTGAATTGATATTTTTAAGTGCAGTATATTCCATCAATTACGGCACCATCAAATTCAAATGCTATTAGGCATGTTTTGGCAGATGGAAGAAGTCATGTTTTGGCACCATCAAATTCAAACAGTTGCAGGCCTTGTGTTCTTCAAACTTAAGCCACAATTGACAAGACATATGGTTTTCAACAAGGATACAGGTTAACAAAACAACTGTACTTGCACATGGAGACATGTGACCTTCCAAAGCTCTCTAAGTGTCATTCTATTCCCTAGTAAAGTATGTTTGTTGTTAAAATGATTACATTTCAACTAGGTCGTGTTTGGGCGAGAGATTTTCATTTCTTAAGTCGAGTTATGAGTGAATGGAATACAAAATGATAGGCAGAGAAGATTAGAAATATCGTTCATGAGCATTACAAAGCTATGTGAGAGAGATTTGCAATTGACTTCTTTCAAGTCCGGATTTGCAATCCCTCTCACATATCTTTTGTATTGCTCATGCAGGGTATTTTTAATCCATTTTGTAGTCCATTCCTTAATAACTTGGTCCCAATACCTTACCAAAACATAGTATTTGTGTAATATTTAAGAGAGATTTTAATTTAATCTAAACTACAAGAAGAAGATTTTCGAACTTTAGAATATAAGGGGAACAAACTACTCTAGCAAACTTAACTAGATCAAGGGAACATGAGTATTTTTCCAATGTACTTAGAAGATGACCATGTGACGCTACTATTCTACTCAAAAATATAACTTGTGGATTTGTTTTTTTATCAATATACCTTAAAAGTTAGACATTTCAACCATATCGTCTACTTTTATTATAATCATGGAATATACATCAGTGGCTTGTGTTCTTGGCCCATAACATGTAAATTGAGTGCTTTTGAGTTCAAACTTGCACATTATACTTTTATTTACTTTTTTTTTTCTTTTTTCTTAAAAAGAACCAGCTGGTGGCCAAGCCACGATAATCCACCTTTCTAGAGATTGGGATAACTTACACATTATACTTTTGTTAATTATGAGTTCTTTACTTGGACGGTGAGTTATGAGTTTAGATATACAATTTAAAACTATATAAAACACGGGATTAAATCATATCATATTATAGTAGTGGCTTACAACTACAACAAGAAGGTTCCTCACAAGCCACTGTGATTGCGATTTTATAGTCCATCGTTCGAATCATAATCCAATGTTTTTTCATAAGTCCGCAGGCTTTTCAAATCTACATCAAGGATTCATGTGCGTAGATCCTATAATCAGTCTCACATACATCAACGGTCGACAATTAGCCACACTTAGAACAAAAGTCGAAAACTAAAGCTAACATTTCGTGTAACAGAGACTTGACTTAAGGAACAAACACTTCAACATCGATAATGGACTTGAAATTTTCACCGTGGATGGGTGCCATAGGTTAAGGGACTCGGAAACTTTCACCGACCGGCCCGAACTATGCCCAACCCTACCAATGACTAGTTTAAACCCAGAACTAGTGAGAAATCAGAATATTTGGACCAAAAGAAAACATCCAAATCCTGAAACGGTGGCTGCTAAAATCAATTGATTTTTCAACACGGCAGAAGCTCGAAGGATGGAAATATTCACTGGTTCGAATGTGATCCTCTTGACCAACAGCTCATGGTTCAAATGATTAAGACAAGACCTAAATTTCTTCCTTCAAAGTGGAAACGTCGTTGTCACATCCTTTCTTCTCCTTTGTTATTATTACAACTGAGAACAAGACTTTTAAACCATTCTATACATTACATTATCCTTCTTTTCGGGTTTGAAGGTTTGATGCAGCCATGTAATCAAGTAACATGGCGGAATCACGTTATCAGGCGCACCGTGCTGAAAATGATGTAGACAAGTAAACGAGACAACTGTGTTCATGATAATATGAAAGAAATATGCTAGGGGCATTCGCCAAGGCGTTTGTGTGAACGACTTCCGGTCATTGATGTAAGCGTGGGCCCAACCGCGTCAATGACCTGAGTCAACAAATGTGTGTGCACGGGTCGATTGTCCCCAAGAATTCCTCAACATGAACTAGAGTTCCGTAAACAAATGATTGAGATATGCTCCATCTTCTAAACAAATTAGTACTTCAATTAAAAAGGAGAAAATTTTGAGTTGATAATGCTTTGATACAAAGTACAGTTTGCCCAATATTTGATCAACAACAACAAAAAACAAAGCCCTAAATCCTAAATGAGCAACGGCACAGGATGAATATTAGCAGCCCAGGATAAAATTCTCAATGTTTTGACTCCTCTATATGTTGCCTCTGGCACCAGACTATTGGGGAAAGCACCCAAGGATCCATCATGTAACGGTTAAACCCTAACGGCTTAAAATTTTAAAAATTCACATTGAGATACTCACATGAGCTGTATCAACATGAGTGCCGATTTCTTTACACAGGACATCTCCAGAAATGAGTAAAATGATGAAGATTCTGTTCCCTAATCATCTTCGTTGTCATTTTGATTGTTTGAATGGTTGATCGCTTGAGCATTATACAACTCGGCTACCTGAACTTAGAAGAAGTGTGTGAGAATACATATAAACTGTACAATAGTGTTTCAAATTAACTTTCTTCACCTGCTCAGATGATGTGGCTAGCTCCGGAGGTTTGTCTTCCCGAACTCGAATAAGACGTGGAAACCGGAGAGAAATACCCTGATCACACGTGCACATAGAATTAGATGAAGAAAACACATCATCTAATCCACATTCACAAGGTAATAGCAAATATTGACAAGTAAAGAAAAAAAAAATTCCAGTGAACCTTATTAGCATCCACTATGCCAACTGCAGCACGATGAACGGGGCTAATAGTCAGGTCCGCAGCTTTCACCTCCCAAACCTGAAAGAAAAAAAAAAATACCATGGGTTATCACAAGAAGAAGCTGAAATCCACTCCACCAAGTCTAGCACTTAGAAAGCAAAACTCAGCTATATTCACGCAATTCAGCTAAACTGCATTGTTTTGAAAACTAAACAACAGATGACCGGAAGTACTTAAAACTCATTTGCCATCTAACCTTATAGTCTAGAAAACTTCCGTCACTTGAGTTTAAGGGGGAAAAAAATCTTAACCTTACAGTGCTACATAAGACCTATTAAAATTGTGGCAAGATTTTGCTATTAATGCCAAAATGCTCTTCTCCTTTTTATGGTTAAAATGAAAAAATGTTCAGGAATGCATATCTAGAAACACGGTTCCTGCTAATTTTCTCAGTAGATCACAGCAGATTCTACCTAAACACTAAGAAAAAGGATAATTAATTTCTGCATGCATCTGTAAAGGAGAAAATGCCACGAGTTCAATCATCACATCCTTTTGAAGCTAAAAGAAAAAATGGCAATCCTTGTAAATTTGAACAAAGTTGTTCACATTCCACCTTTTTAATATTCTTGTTCAAGATGAAAAATTCAGCATTTTCAAGAAAATTGTATTTTACCACTTCGATAATTTCTTTAAATTCTCCAAACAAGCTGAGACTTAGAGTAGCTCAACCCATGGAACAGTGTTAAAAAAAAAACCTAAAACCCATGAGGAAAATAATTTAAGAAGAGCATCATTCCATGAATTTTGATAGTAACTTTTCTTGTATCAAAAACAGGACCCAATCTCGTCTATAATATTGATTTGCTCAAAGATCTCTCTGTACAGCTTAAGAATCCAAACTACCGGACACATCAAATGCAAAGTCCAAGATGTGCTTCAACAAAAATGTAAGATTCCTAGGGATTAGGAAGACTTCCAGCAAAACCCTTCTCCCCCCCCCCCCCCCCCCCCCCCCCCCCCAAACAAAACAAAAAAAAAAAAAAAAAACAAAAAAGGGTTTTGTTTTTTCCCTTTCCCATTTAGGAATCAGGACCAATGACTTCTAACTCTTTGGGTACATTTGCTCCTCCGGACTGGCATCCCAAATAGGGCTATGTAGGCTCTATCCTGATTTTATACAAGTTGAAAATGGGGCCCAAAAATAAGCCCTATTTCTCTCTTTGTCAACTCTAAAGATAAAAGCGCTACAGGTTTCTCCTCCCCCTTGTAGCTGATGGAGGTGTACAGGTGTGTAGTATTAAGTGATAATTGGGAGTGGTGTCAGGTCTGGGAATTATATAAATCATACTATATGTTTGTTTACAGTTTTGCGGGTACTATCTTGCCTTTTAGTGAAGACCCCAAACATGAGACAAAAATAAATCCAAGCCAATCCACACTAATTCCTATAATTAGTCCTAGCCAAGCGACTCCTGTATATCAAACGCACCCTTAATGTGCAAAATGAACTGGGCAACACAATAGAAGTGCAGAGGGAGTTCTATCAAAAAGCTATATGTACAGAAAACAAAAAGGCAATGGTTATTACCTCTGAGGGTTCAAACCATACATCTGGATTCATTGTATCATGATACCTATAGTATGACTGCAATTGACAAGAAAGCAAAATTAGCAAGAGAATCAGAAGAACAATGTAATAAAATTCAGACAGAAAGAAGGAATCACAGACCTTAGGTTTGGGTATCACTTTAGTACGGAGACTGGCAGAACGTTCTTCAAGCATTGCTTCAGTGAGTCCAGTGCCTGTAAAAAATAAAGATACACGGCCGACCAATCAGTAATAGGTAAAACAGATTGGAAATCACTGAAAAGGTTGCCAACACATACATAAAAAAATTGCACTGACCTACTTTACAAATGCTTTGAAACTCTTCATTATTGCTATCATAACAAGCGAGGAGGAAAGCACCATAGACACCTAAGGAAGACCAGATTATGATTATCACCTCCACCTTGTATTTCAATTTAAGAATAAGATAGTGACAGTTTAAGGAAGAAGAATATTGCATCATTGAGACATTGAAGATAAAACTAAAAGATGTAAATGACTGGAAACCTTTAAAGAGCGTCACTTTTACGTTGAAGAAAAATGGGAGAATTTTTAATTATTAAATCCAGAAAGACAAACATTTCAACAGAAAGTGCCCCTTCCTTCAACTGAAAATGCTGTTTCATTACAGTTACCTGTACGTTTTCCCCGGCCATGGAAAGCAGCAATAGGCACCAAGTCTAGTGAGTCCCCAATACTGAAGGGCATAGCAAACGAATAAACATAAAATTCACAAAGCTTTATCAGGATTACTAAAATGGAAAACACTAATTCTTACCTGTCCATGTAATCTTTCTTCAATTTCAGCCAGTTAAGTGACCGCTTTGAAGGCTCGTATGTAGCATCTTTGGTCAATGTTTTAATAATTAAACCCTCAGAACTGCAATCCAGGATGAAGGAATAACAAAAGAAGGCCATAGCTCAAAGAGGACAAACTTATACAGATAAAAATAAACTGGGATGCAAGTGAAAGACCAAACCACAAATAAATTAAATTCTAAGGCAGAAGTTCAACAGAATTAATTAGTACATTTTTCCACCTTCATGAAATGTATTTGTGCAAAACTTGCAATCCTAGTGATCCAATGACAGCACATTTATGAAATTCGAATTACTTTATCTAATGTTCATATCCATTTGCCCCCTGAAAAGTCAAAAGAATGGAGTGAATACCTTGAACTGACAGCAGCATCAAGAAACTTTTGTATTTCATCAATATCATTTGATGTTAAGGCTGTGGCAAACTGAAAAAACCCAGCTTCTTCCACAAAAGAGTCATACAGACACTGCACAATGCAACAACAGTCTCACATGTAAGAATATAAATATTACTTTCTGGTGTAAAAGCAGAATAAGAAGAATGGTCAGAAGACATTAAAAACCCAGAATTTCTTATAAAGCAGAACCTTCAACAATAATTGTGGCACCTAAAATGAATTAGTCAATGGGGCACCCTTCTCGTAATCTCACTGTAATCAACATAGACTTATGGTACTATTAAGAAGACACGACACCTTGTTCTGTCTTTTCTTGCACTTTTGTTTTCATTAATGTTCAAATTTTCCTATGAAATAATACTGTTGATGCCCCAAGGCATCATCAACGAAGACTAATAAACTACTAGAAAAAAGGACGAAAAGAAGCAGCACAGTTGGCACTTTAAACTTCTTGCACTCCCCACTCTAAACACATGAAACTAATGCAAAGGCATTGAATAACAAGAAGTAAAGTGTCAACAGGTGTAATCTTGAATGATACTACTGCCCGCTACTTTGCTACCTGTACCTAGAATATAACCTTTTCCAATTAATAATTAACTTCTATTATAAACCTTCCAGCAGTATTTGTTCCTAAAGGCAATTAGAGATGCCATAGCAGGCTGTTTAATCACACTAGTTAGATACCAACACAAACATTTTCCTGATTCAAAAAGGGAACCTATCAACAATTTTGATACAAATGCGAACATAAAAATAAATTCAAAACATGAAAAGGAATGGCAAAGATAGATTCTCAATAAAAAAACAATGAAAGAACAAAAAAAAATTAATAACACCAAGAAAAGAAAGAACAAAAAAGACTAGAAATAGTAAATTTCGACACCAATTCATTTTATTCTACTAAATAAATTAATCAATAAGATATGCTGGTCATACAATATGCATGACTTGGATATTAGTTATTAATTTTTTGAGAAACACAATTGCTCCCATCCATAAGAGCAATAACAGTAAGTTGTAAACTTAATTGGGAAGAAAGACAAAGTTATACCTCTCTACGAACTTTCAGTTGTTCCTGAATAAGTGGTCGGCCATTAAGATACAACATATCAAAAGCAAATATGCAGACTTCAACCTTGATCTCACTCAAGCTCACATTTTTACGCGCTCTAGTGCTGAGTACCTGCAACAATAATATCTTGTAAAGGCTTTCAAATCTTAACTCAACAATATTCAAAATTAAATACTGTCCCGGGTGTAAAAAGCCATAAAACAATATTTTTAGAGAGAAAAAAGTCAAAAAGCATTCAGAAAATATTATGATTTTCATGCACCATCATTAGTGAAGCCGGAATAGATGGTGTAACTGCGAAGTATATACCCATATATATGCATTATCATTATGCAAAGGAAGGGTAAGCCAAAGGTCAAACTTTGGTAACTATTCTTCCACAAGAAGAATACACAATAGCATATCCATAAAATTATTTTTGGTACACCATTTGAGGATACCTGCTCTTCCGTAAGTGCTTTTCTCAACATGTTTTGATTTACATTTTTATGTATAAGTATATCTAATATTCAAATAAAAAAATTGTTTGAGAAGCTTTGTGAACGAAAACAAATATGGAGTGACCCCAACTCCAATAGGTGGGTAGCAAATCACTATGAAGAGCACCAAGAATAAAACTGGAGTACGATGGGGAAATAATTTACCTGGAAGGGCAGAATTTTTTGCTTTTCACGGTCGTAAGCAACAATTTCACAATCCAAAACGAATGATGTTACAGATGACTTCTTTAACCTGCAAGCTGACAGAAAACATTAGCAACTGAAAATTTGAGAGCACAATAAACATTTTTTTTTCTTTTGTCAAAGCACAATTAACATTCTGGATAACATGAAGTTGCAACCATACTTTAACAAATAAACTAGTCAAATACAGGTTGGAAAAATTCTAAACACATCACCAGACCACAAACATTACAGGCATTAATTTGTTTACAAAAACAAATGCCTCATCACCCATTTATCAAGTCTTAACTTTTCAGAAATATCAATTACCTAAATTTACTCAGTGCAGTGTATAGTTTATGACATTAGTTTCATTAGTGGGGATGTAGTAGTAGAAGAAAGATCCCAAAAGAATTTTGAAAATATTCAGTAACCAACCAACTCTTTAACCCATCGCACATGGAGAAATGCACTACAGATTGATTCAGTTTATATCATAGGAGATGTGAAACCTTCGAATTTTTATTCCAGAGTACCAAACTCCCTCACGTATTATCACCCCTAAGTTCCATATGAAATACCATACAACCAAGATAGAAGCCCAACCTCGACACTGCAGCAACCACATCAGGATACTTTCCAGTGTTTCGTTCAGCATTTCGACTGTATATCTCAACAGAACCATTCTCCATGAAATGTATCTGTAAGAAATGGGAACGTTATTGTAACCAGAAAACAAAAAGGAATGAAGCATGCTATGGCACACAACATATCATGAACCGAAAAATGTTACATGTTGGAATTAACAAGATGGTATCACCTGGGCACGTTCTCCATCGTACTTGTATTCACACGTGTATTCTGTATCCTGAAACTTCTGTACAATCTCAGATACCCCCTTAGTTGGTTTTGCTAGCATAGGCCCAACTGGGACGCCCAAAGTAAAGTTGCATATCTCTGGAAGATTCCATACACCTCCACTTAAAAGGGCAGGGATGATTTTATCGTAATCAGGAAGCAGAGAGTACACTTGCTTAACAAGCTTTGCTGCCTGAGAAATCAAAGTTATAGAGAACGTATTACAAGATAGAACAAAAGACCATCAACAAAAGATCAATTCAGCTTGTAGCTAATTAGAACTACTTATATTGTCATAAAGATCAAGTATAATGGTCTAATAGCCAAAATTCTTGTTATCTACTAAATAACCCTACAAGACACATAACTCTTAGCATATTACCAATTCAGTAGCAGATTATAAACTCAGTATCAACAAAATTTGATGGCATGAAGATTCTCTAGAACTGCATCATTTGACCTAACGAACCTAAACTCACCTCTTCTAGAGGACTCTGAATATGAGAAGGTGGTGTCGAATGTTTTTCAGTATACACTGCAGCTTGTCCCAATGCAGTTAATAGAGTCTGCTCTGCCAATCCAATTCGCAACTTTGTCTACAAAACAAAACCCTTAAACCTTACAATAGGCTAAAAGGTGTTAACAACTGAAATTTACTATATAACCAAATTACAACCTGAAGCAAACGGATCAGATATTGAGGTTCACAATCAGTGGCAGCAACAAGAAGTGCCTTGATATGGTTCTTTTTCTTCTCCTGACTATCCTTCCCAGATTCCTATTAAATTTCACAAGCAAGGGCAAGTTAATTACAAGAACAATATCCTATAGTAAAAAAAATTGAACCCCTCCACAAAATCTTCATATCTTATCCACCAGTAAATTTAAGGTAAAATTACTAAAGAGAAAAAAGTTCACCACCTAACTACATTCCATACAGTGTAATCTTTTTTCGCTTAATTAAATATGGTATAATCCAACCATCTACATAATAGTTATTTTCCCTAAATAGTTTACAATAACTCAGTGCATCAAAACTACAGGAAATTCTCCTTGATAAACAACATAAAGAAACATAATTTAATGGACTTACCAAAAACCCCTTTTAGCTTTCATAATTCATAATTTACAATAATCGTCCTTCTGTTCTAGTTCTACCTAAAAAGAAAATTTCCAAAGAAAAGCTCCTTTGACGAGAAACATAACGTGTCAAGGGCAGTGGACTTTGATCACCACAAAATTTTACACTCCCACATTGTTTTGAAAATGTGACAACTTCTCAACAGAATGCATATAAGGTTATAGTACTAGAAAAGCAAAAAAAAGAAACATCAATTGAGAAAACAAAATTGTACTTATCAACACCAGGTCCCTACATAAAGCAACCCACGGCAAGACAAGAAGAGGCATCAAAATCAATATATCAAAGTACTAAAATTTCAGAGTCTAAGTTCGGAAATATGAAGATAGATCACCTTAGCTAGTTGACGAAATGTACTAAAAACCTTGGTGACAGTTAATGCATCAGGCTTGCGCATCATAGATTGTGAAGAACGGCTTTCCTTTGCAACACGACCAAGATCTCCCAGCTCCTATAAATTTCAACCTCACTTATCAGTAAAGGAAAGAAAAATAAACTGCATACATGAAAGTGAAGTTCCTAGAAGATTTAAAAGACAAAATGCATTTAATGCGACAGCTAACTCAGATAGGAGCACTGGTAGCATGAAGTAACAAAGATTTAAACATCAAAAAATTCCCACGCAACTCAGCCTCGACAAAATGAAAGAAATCAACTATGTGGAGCAAAGATTTATGACTTTCTGTTCTTTAATCTTCCTTCATTATATCATGAACTAGATGAAACAACCCAATTAATCATAAAAACTCAAAACTTGATGAAACAAAATCGATACACGTATTCAAGATTAAATGAAAACACAAAACCCACAGTAATAATACCTTGTATTGCTTCTTCACATGCGCTTCAGTCGTCCCAAAAGCCTCTGCAAGGGCCTTAACAATCGAAGCATCCCCAATTCCAAGCTCCAAACCCTCATGCGCCGGAGCAATCCTATTCGCCGCAAGATAAATCACAGGCACCAAATCCTCAGGCGTGGTGTACATTACAGTCCTCAACATGTTACAAACAATATCCGTGATCACAATCCGACCCGTCTCTTTGTCAATCAAATTGAAAACTAAACAAACAAACACAAAAGGAACCCTCTCGCCCTGGCCCCAATTCGCCACCAATTTTGGGTCAAATTCCCCGGCTTTCTTCTTCAGTAGCGGCATTCGGCTCTTCAATTCCTCAGTCCGCTCCTTAGCACCCGCCACCACGCACACTTTCTTCCCTGCCGGAACCACCTCACCGCCATTGCCAGAACTTTCTTGAGCTTCTTTAATTTCCTTGGATTCCGGAGCTTTGACTTCCACGGGTTCTGGATCTTGGGTTGCGCCGGCGCTTTCGGGCGTAGGCAGCAATTGGGGTTTTTTGATAGGGTCAGTGGAGTCTAGGGCTTGGCGCTTCTTGGAGGGCGAACGCTGGGGCTTTTTCTTGGCGGCGGCGGCGCGGGCGCCGGACATGAGGGCGTCGAAGGCGGAGGGGCGGGAGGACATGGCACGAAGATTAGGGTTTTGGGGGGAGAGGGAAATGAGAGGGAGTGAAGAGGGTTTAGGGCGGAAGAGGGCGATGGGGTAATGGAGACGGAGGAGAGAGGGGAGGCGTAGACAATGGCAAGAACAGAGTGATCGTGAGAGCATCAAATGGAGAGGATTTGGGAGAGTGAGAGTGTGAGACTCGGGAGAAATGGCGGGAAGGATTGATTGAGGCGCTCCAAGTGAAGATCAAGAACAAAGATGTATTTTTACACATGTTATGTTTTCAACGGAGAATTTCGAAATTTTTATAGAAATAACGTGAACTATAATTTACAGTAATTAAAATTCCGTTAATTAAAATTTCATTGTTTGGATGTCGAATGCATAAATTATAAAATGACGATTATTACAAATATTATTGTTTGGACAATTGTTAAAATTTGTATTATATACAGGAACACCAAAAAAAAAAAAAACGTTAATTTTTTCACATGCAATATCCAATTTACCTTTTCTACAATGTTGCAAAATAAAATGTCCAGCTATAAATAAGTGCAATCCTCAATGAATACATCAGAGATCAAGCCATCAAACCAAAAACTAGGGCTGCGAATGCTTTAGTAGATAAAGGAACACACTCTAAATTTTGCAACAATTAACAATTTCTCAAAGCAATAGTTTACGAAAATAAGTCTACAACAATATGACAAAGTTGATTGAAGTAGGAAAATCTCAGTAAAGCACACTTGCAAATATCAACTAACTTCCGTGACATGAAAGGCTTTTATTCTAACTAATGTTTTACTGGAAGCACTATAATGAAAATAATTTTATACGCCTCATGAAACAGAAGCGGATCCACATAGGAACCCAGATGGTTCCAAAACCCTCTAGAGGTCAGAAAAGTGTTTGCGAGACTGTCTCCAACTGAAGGGCTATGTTTAATTTCCGTCCAGATTACAGCCCTGCAAGAAATTACTTTTTTACTGAACAGTGTTAGACTATATTTATACATCATTTCCAACCAAAGAGGGCTATTTTTTAGCCCCCCAATAATTTATTATTTTAAGTTTTTTCTTTAATTTTATTGGTTAAATGAATTAAACTACTATATTAAAATAAGGTTTCCATGAGTGCCACTTGTCGCTAAACGTTTTTAGTTTCATGTTATTAAACATTTTAATTTTACTTGCATGTTAACATAGACATTAAAATGAGGTAACATACTATGAAAGGGTGAAAAAGGATGTGATAAATTGTGTAGAAATGGATTAGGTATTTATAGGAAAAAAAATAGATTTTTTAATTTTTTAAATTTTGCCTTAAAAAAAAAAAAATACACGATGTTAGCTAGCAGCACAGTTGGGCCCAACTTTTCGGGCTGGGTGGCTGGCTATGTTTGGCCAACCCGCTAGCCATTTGGCTGGATTTTGGCCCTAAGCGTCCTCAGTTTTTTTCCCCAGCCCTCATTTAGAGATTAGTTTTGTGTCAAAAATGGTTATATTTTGGCCTATGACCTTTGACGATTGGAGATGACCTGAAGGTCCCTTGAGGACCCCTAATGGTCTGGGCAAGTGGTCATACAAAGGGGTTTAGACCTCAATGGATGTGCAACGAACATGTTTTAAAAATCGGCCAATTGCAAGTTAAAAGTCTGTAACTGCTAAAGAAAGAAGAAGGCCTGCAAGATGCGATAATGCATTTCCAGTATTTCAATGACGTCGTTTTCAGCCTTTTAGTTTGTTTTCTTTTAATACGTGGCACAAGCTACAAAGTCCATCTGCCACTACGATTCATAGAAACCTAAATAATATTTAGGGTGCGTTTGTTTCACCTCCTTAGGAGGGACTGGCTTGGACTGCCTTAACTTGGATTATTATCCTACGTTTGATAAGGTCTTGGACTACAATAAATGGGACTCGCCTCGACTACGAGGCCCTCCCTACTTCGCTAAACCCCGTCATCTAGTCCCATACTTCGCTTGGTATTAATCGAGACTAAAAGAAAATTGAGGCCAAGATCCAGACCCAGCTTTTGCTTGCTAAACAGCGACATCCAATCCTTGGCCTTCCTTCTTCTTCTGTGGCATCGTCACCGTGGCTACCAGTTAGCAGTGCTTGTTCTTCTTGTTCTTCCTTTTTCCCAAAAAAATCCTAGATGGCTAGCTTTAGGGATGAATAGAAAATTTCCAGAAAACCCATGGGTTTTGCTTTCTTTTTCCACCCATCTCTAAAAAAATCCTTTTCTCTGTTTCAAATAATGCTCAAAGCTTATTTCCTTCTCGATCGACACTTTGACCAACTCTTCGAAAAAAGAAAATCAAGAAATTGGAAAAATTAATGGAGTCCGTTAGATAATTGATAAAGATGATGATAGATTGGTTGTATAGATTATAGAGTTCAAAGGAAAGAAAGGAAGGATCTGGGTTTTGCAGGAGGTTTTATCATTAGGCCATCTCCAACCGAAGGCTAACCAGATGGCTCGTTTTAGCCCTCTGGGCTCCAAGAAATTAATATTTTAATGAACAGTACAGGGCCATATTTGCCTCCGTCTCCAACCGAGGGCCAAAAGGCCATAGGGCTCGTTTTAGCCCTGTCAAAAAAAACCTTCTCCAACTGAGGGCCAAAGGGCTATAGGGCCAAACATAATTTATTATTTAAAAACTACAACTTAAATTCAAATTTAACGGCTAAGTGACGTCAGCTAACCTTTGGATTTGAATTTTTCTTTTGCTATAAATAGGGTGGATATTGGGCTATAATTCACACAACTTTGAATTCAATCTATTTCAATTCAATCTCTTTCAATTCAATCTTTTTCAATTCAAGTTTGCAATGAATTCCAACTTTGGATCCTCTTCGGATTTCAATTGGGGGTTTTCATCCAATTCCAAATTGGAAGCAAAATTGGCGCAAATGAGACGAGAAGATGAGGAGTCTGATGAAAAAGTTCAAGAAAGGCGCAACAGACAAAACATAGCAGTAGCCATGGCTGCGGCCATGATGTGTCAGCCAACTGAGGAACAACCTCAATGGGGTGGCTTTATTGTTGGTTGCTTTTACAAACCACGAAACAGAGCAATGTCGCATGCCAATCTGATGAACAAGTACTTAAACCCCAACTCGGTGTACACAGAAGAGGATTTCAGACGTCGCTCGCGGATGAGGCTTCATGTCTTCGAGCATTTACTTCATGATGTCCAGCAGGTCAATCCATACTTTCAACAGAAGCGGGACAGAGTAGGCCATCATGGTTTCTCACCTCATCAGAAGGTTACTGTTGCACTCCGAATGATGGCCTATGGCTCCCCAGTTAATTCGATGGATGAAACCCATGTTATGTCTGAGTCTACATGCCTTTATACTCTTGAACAATTCTGTGACACGATTGTTCAGGTTTACAAAGACGAGTACCTCTGCGAGCCAAATCAAGAAGATCTGAATCGGCTCATTCGCAAAGCTGAAGACCGAGGGTTTCCGGGCATGATAGGGTCATTAGACTGCATGCATTGAGATTGGAAGAACTGTCCCACCGGATGGCAAATAGGCTTTAACGGAAGGTTGAGAAAGCCAACTGTTGTGTTAGAGGTGGTTGCCTTATATGACACATGGATCTGGCATGCTTTCTTTGGAGTCCCTGGATCCCAAAATGACATTACAGTTCTTGGGAGTTCACCCATCTTCAATAACTTGACGAAAGGTAAAACACCTTAACTTGACTACTACATCAACAACCGTTAATACAATATGGGGTATTACTTGGCAGATGACATTTACCCAAAGTGGGTGACACTTGTCCAAGCAATTCCAAACCCTAGGAATGATGCAAAAAAGTTGTTTACCTTACACCAAGAGGCATATTGGAAAGATGTTGAGAGAGCTTTCGGTATTCTACAAGCATAGTGGAAGATCATTAGCAACCGACAAGAAGGTGGAGTTGAGAAAATTTGGACTCCATCATGATGTCTTGCATCATATTACACAATATGATAGTGGAGGATGAGCAAGATGGGTATATTGATGAAGAGTCTGATGATGACCAAGAAGATCCAAATAGGTCAAGAAGGGCTCGTGCAAAAATATATGATGGGCCTAATTTGCCTTTCAATTCAAGAACTGGTAATATCTCTATCAATAAGTACATGAGGCGCTATAGAATGATACGTTCTCATGCCACAAACAAGTACCTACAAACAGGATATTGTTGCACATCTTTGGGCCGAAAGAAGCATGAAGTAGGCGTTTAAGTTTTATGTTGTTAAATGTTTTTAAAAATGTTGTTTAAGTTTCATGTTGTTAAATGTTTTTTTTTTTTATGTTGTATAATTTGTATGTTGGTTAATGTTATTTAATGTTGTTTCATATTGTTTAATGTTGTTTCATGTTACTTAATTTAATTTAATGTTGTATAATGGCTTAGTGTGACAGCCCGTCCCGAATCATTTGTACCGTAGGTGTGAAAAGACGATTTTACCCCTGGAAGTTAATTGGTGTTGTAAAGTGTTGTTTGTTTTGTTTTTGGTTGGTGGGCTGTAATCTGGACCACACACCCATCTCTTTGCCTTGACTCTCTCTCTCTATTCTCTTTTCTCTCGGATTTCTTCCATTTTCTTCTTCCTCGTACAGACAGCTTCCATCCAACCATTTCTGGCACGAATCGTGTTTGTTGTTGGTGTTTTTGGACTCATTTCAAGCTCAGGAGTCGATTGGTGGTGTTAGTTGGACTTCAGACCTTCGAAAACCCAAGAACCATGGAACCCCGATTTGGTGCACTGTTCATGCACACGTGATCATGAGGTTTTTAGAAGTTTTTAAGGTTCTAGAAAGCTTTAGGACGTCTTCACGAAGCTTGGGGAGCAGTTTTGAAGTGTTTTGGACATCGGGAAGCTCGAGTTCATCTAGTTGCAGGTTTGGCCAAAATATCGAGGTTTCTCCGGCAAGATTCCGTTGGTTTTAGGTCCCCAAAGTGGTAAGGTTTTGTTCTACTCGTTGTAAGCTTTATTCTGGTACAAATTTCATGAAATTTGGTTGAGAAATGAAGAAGATATTAAAGGTTGAAGTTTTTCCCAGTTTCTGGTGAAAATTCGAGTTGCAAACAGCGGCGGACGGCGGCGACCGGCGAGGTTCATCGGAGAAGGAGGTGAATATTCCGTCAGATTTAACGGAATATTCTAATGGCGTCAGGTAACGGCCGTTAACTTCTGTTAGGGTTTTAACGGAGTATTCCCTAACGGCGTTCGGGTTCCACATGCGTGCCAGGCACGTGCCAGTG